ACTCAAAATAATTTAAAAAGACAAATTACAATAAGACGGTTTATTATCCAACTATCAGAAATTTCACAACGTGCCAAGGAAGAGAGGAAGGAGCAATTAAATAATTAAAATTATAAAGGATTAAAAAATATATATATAAAAATGGGGAATATCGCACTTCTGACAATTGCTGCGAGTGTATGGGCTAAATTTGGAGAATCCGCGCTTCTCGCATGGACAATTGTATGTGGCCGGCTCACGTGTCGGAAAACCTTCCGATTTATTCGTGTACGCACCAGACGGAAAAACAAAAAATACCGTGTATCCACAAAGCACTTTAATAAATAAATAAAATTGAAACGACACTTTGAAATGTTTTCCAGATGAAAATGAATAATAATAAGTTTCAATAAAAATGATGAAATGTAAATTTAATTTTATCATAACGAGTTTGCTTGAATTTCGTTTCTTCTGAGATCGCAGCAATGCGCGACGGGTAAGCTAGTATTTAAATAAATAGATGTTATATGTTTTTATCAAAGCAAGAATTGGCATTTAGAGGGCATATGGAATATATTGGATCTAATAACAGAGGTAATTATAATGAACTTGTTTATTAAGTACGTCAGATAAATAATCTATTAAAAATACATTTAAAGAAAGAATTAACTGATTGCCCCTGGATGTCGGCTTCTTATAGAAACACAGCTTCCCTATCATCAAATGTCACGGCACGCCCCTGTTATAATCCTATCCCTTTGGAAAACGGTAAAATATAAGTTTTGTCTTTTACGCAGTAATGGAACAAACCAACAATGTCTTCAAAAACTTCCCCGAACACAGATAAAATTTTCAATAGTAAGTTAATATATTGTTTTAAGAATAGTTTTTGACATAATAATTAATCTCAAAACATAAATATAATGTAGCGGTACCATGTAATAGCGTTGTCATATTCACAAAAAGTTTTAAATATGTTTAAAAGTACAAGTCGACACTCCTATAACATTGTTGATTTTTCTGTTTTATATGAATTCCATGTTGTACGAGTCACTTAGATTTTACAAGTACGTGTGACTGGCTGTAAACGGCTCACGTTTTTGCAAAATCTAAGTGACTCGTACAACATGGAATTCTTATAAAACGGAAAAATCAACAGTGTTATAGGGGGGTCGATTGTAACTCTTACAGTCACTATATTCAATATATTTACGTTTTTTCCAGTGGAACAGAACATCTTTCTAGCATGAAAGTCGATTGTATTAAATGTACATTAACCCGGATTTTCCAAAACCTAGGAGACGTTATTGCACGTCGACCAGTTTACTTTATAGTTTTACCTTTATTGCTTTCGTTTACTCTTTCAATTGGGATCCTCAAATTATCACCAATCGAAGATGTCGATGATTTTGTTGTTGCTGATAGAGGAAAAGCACTTAACACGAAAATCTTTGTGGAAAAAATGTTTCCCTTCAATTCTTCTATATTCTATGATATGGTAAGATATGTCGATCTTCCCCAGAGTGCTATACTTTATATTTTAAAAAAGGACATGGGAGATATGTTAGTAAAGGAAGTACTCGAAGAAATTAAGAAAGTGGATGAAACTATTAAAAATCTCACTGTTGTAATTGATGACGTTTCAATTGAATATCGCAATGTTTGTGGAATAGTTCGTGAATATTGTTTCGAGAATCCTCTTTCCGTTCTGCTGTCGGAAATAAGTAACTTATTAACAAGAAGAAAGAAAATAAAATATCCTGTAGAGATAGACAGGTTGACCTTATCTTACAATGTTTATTCGTTAAATTTGGGAGGAGTGAAAACTGATGGACAAGGATACGTCGAAAGTGTAAAAGCTATTAGATTATTCTATCCATTCGATATCACTATAAAGTGGAAGCAGAAATGGATTGAACAGTGGACTAAAACAGTTTATGACGAAATAGGAAATAGTCGCTTTCAGCATATTAAGATTTTCATTAATCCTTTCTGGTCTACTGAAGAGTATGCTAAAATTCTGTTTTCAAATCTACGACCGTTGATTGCTGCGGTAGTGATTTTCATCTCTGCTTTCTCCATGATCACATGCATGAATCTAAAATTAGTAAGAAGCAAACCTTGGTTAGGTGTTGCGAGTGTCGTATCGGCTGGCCTGGCAATAAGTGCATCCTTTGGATTAATGGGATTCTGCAGTACGAAAAACACGTATTGGAATATTTGTATTCCGTTTTTAGTAATTGGTAGGTATTCTTTATTTGTAAGTAGTTTATAAATAAACATTTGCATTCATTATAATTGTTTTTGTTTGACAGTAACGGAGATCGATGATGCATTTGTTCTGATCGCCAGTTGGAGAATTACCGATCCAAACGATAATGTTGTTAATCGTCTGCGTAATACGTACAGAGAAGCAGCAGTTTCCATCACTCTGACGTCACTCACCAATTTCTTGGCGTATTGCGTTGGAATGACGACTTCGTTTCCTCTTGTGAGAATATTCTGCTATTATTCTGCAACTTGCATACTCTTCACTTATGTTTTTCAGATAACATTTTTCGGTGGTTGCATGGCGATTAGTGGATATCGAGAAGAGAAAGGCCTTCATCCGATTACGCTTCGATTACTTGGTAAGAATAAGTCATACTTTTGTAAATGAATATGAAATATACTAACTAAATTTGATGAGAGGCATTCGTGTATTATACATTTTTGTTATACAGTGTATATAAAATTTAAACTATGAATGCTATATCGGTTATTTTAAAAGTCAGTAAAGATTTTAAAATTATGATGCTTGATAACGGGAATAACATGGAAATGAGTAGAATCGCGGGTTTCCTGAGGTGACAAAATTAGTTCGAATTATGTCCATCTGGTGACGCTACATTACATATTACGTAAACGAAGAGTTACAATGTCTTATTTTGTAACTGTCACTATTATAGACCAATTGTTATGCTAACTTGAGGAAAAGTTAACATAACTGTGACATTTATTTATGATGGACACCACTCCATGTTGCTCCTTTTTTGAGGCAACTGTTACTGTCTTAGATTGGAAAGAATCGACTGATAAGCCGACACCACAGAGTTGTCCAGACCCTGCGATTGTTGTTTTGGAGTTCCAGATCTCACGAGTTTACAAACATATCCAAACGTCATTGGCAGTGCCAAAATATTCTATGCGATAAGAAATATGATATTTTAAGAAATGCTGTTTCGTGCTGTTCCTAATGTCGTTACTTGTTTTCAGGCCATCTCAACAACGAACTTTTTCATGTTATTTGCTGTGGTGCGTTACTTTATGGGGTTAAATCTAGTGGACATAATTGTAATTAATTTTGACATTAGAACTAAAGAAATGTTCCCAATGCATTGATTAATATATTTTCTGAATTTTATCATTGAGAAATACGTCTTCAACGTCACAATGTTTAAAAAGATGCTTATATTACAAAAATATTTAATCAATTAAAAGTATAAATTTATTCTTTTGTAGAATCTGAACATTATTCTTTGGAACCGAATCAAGAAGAAGAATTTTTTATGAAAATATTCAAGAATCAAATCGGAAATATTTTTTCCTTTCCAATTACAAAAGTCATTGTCATAATTTTATATTTTGCGAATTTGGGTCTTGGAATTTACGGTTGTTTTTCAATTAGACAAGGAATAGATTGGCAGAATTTATTTCCTGTCGATTCTCCCATCTCGCAAGCCACCAGCGTTATGTATAATTATTTTGATGAATACGGATTTGCTTTGAATATAATTATTAATGAAACTTTGGATTACTCTGACATCACTGTACAGCAAAATATAGAATTACTTATCAAGAAGTTTGAATCCCATCCTCATATCTCTGATGGACATTTAACCGTTTTTTGGTTGAAATATTACAAAGAATTTCAGGAGCATCCGGTTGCTAAATATTCGTTGGCAGGTTACAACATGTCAACCAAACAAGACTTTTTGGAAGGATTGCGTAAAGTATTCTTGAGATTTAAAGGGGCCGACGAATTCTCTTCAGATATCGTCTTTAATGAAGACGAGTCTGACATAATATGCAGCCGATTATTTGTTACAGCAAAACATGTATCTGGCAGAGAAATAGAAATAAAATTTCTTGATGATATGTGGAAGATTGCAGAAGAGGCACCATTCACTGTTCTAGTGCATAGTCCCGTATCGATTTTAATAGAACAGGGAATAATTATCATGGACATTGTAATGCAGATGTTTTGGGTTACGTCGGTACTAATACTTATTGTGTTTTTGTTGTTTATACCAAATGTAGTCTGCGCATTTCTAGTAGCGATTACCGTCGTCTCCACCATAACGGAAACTTTGGGATTGATGACCTTATGGGATGTAAACGTAGATGTCGTTTCCATGATGAGTTTGATTTTGTGCGTAGGATTTTGCATAAATTATCCCGCCCATATTTCTTACGCATTTTTTCGTTCGAATTTGGAAAATCCAAACGAAAAGTTGAGAGATTCTCTTTACCATTTAGGTTATCCTATATTGCAAGGCACTTTATCGACTACTTTAGGAATATTATTTGTATACAAGGAAATGTACTTCTTTTTGGTTCTCGTAAAGATTGTATTTTTAATGACGTTGGAAACAGCATTCCATGCCATGGTGTTTATTCCGGTGGTTCTTTCGTTGATACCATTGGCTAGTCGAAATGAAAATTTTGATTATGTTTTCGTACGAAAATGTACATCGCAAAACGAGTAGGATTTTCTTGAGTGTAAGTTACTGGAAAAAACGAAAAATGTATTTTTCAATTGATTCATATACTAATTATGTCCGTAATCACTAGTCATATAGGGGAGACCGGGGCAACTTCGGCATGCGGGGCAAGTTTGTCAAGCGCTTTTTTAAAAAAACAAATTAAAAGGAGACTTTGGTTATAGGTTAGGCAGTTGAGTTTTATTGGTGGCTTGTTGAGTGTAGTGTTTTTATTGTTCTCCAACAAGCGTAGTTGAATTATCAAGCAAATTTTCATTTTCGTTCAATTCCATATAATATTTTTTTTCCATTTATATTGAATTGGCAGGTTTTGTTATAATTCCATGATAACGAAAGTTACTTTTCCTGTTAGAAGGATGTAACTTCAACTTATTCACGTGGCCAGATCGTGGCTTGGCATTCTGTTCTCAGGGTTGTACTTAATGTTTCGAAATCATGACTAGCGGGGTAAGATCGGCAACATAAAGCCACATTAGAAGCAAAGGATAAAAATCAAACAGATGATAAATGAAAACATGTTTGCATTTGTTATTCATGTATATATGTCTTTGAACTTGCATTTCGTTGTAATAATATTAAATGGGTGTTGGATTTGTATTTCTTTGTTTTAATAGTGAATTCCAACTTATACATTGTTAATAACATAATTTTATATACGTGCCTATCTTGCTCCATTACTGTTGCCCCCATACCAGGGGCAACTTTAATAAAAATAATTAAAATAATTACAACTTTACAAAAAGAGAGAAGTTACCGATCTTGCCCCTATACCCGGGGCAACTTCGTCAATTTCTCTCTTCTTGTAAAGTTGTAATTATTTTAATTATTTTTATTTCCAAACTAATTTTAACCAGTTCTATAGTAAGGTAACATTCCAATAGACAATACGCAAAGCTTTTTTTCAGTTTACAGCAGTATTTATTACACAAAATTTAAGTAAAGCTTAACATGCCGATCTTGCCCCGGTCTCCCCTACTAATCATGTCATAACCGTAATCATGTCTTATTATAAATATTTACTTTTTGTTTTGTATTGTAAGAAATCTTCTTAGTAGCTATATGTAATTTGTTATCAATTTAAAGACTTATCACACCACAGTTTAACAACAAGAAAGTCTTAAAATTTATAGTAAATTACATAAGCTATTAATAAGATTGATCTCATAGAATAGTTTTGAATAATAGTTCACACGAATTATTAATAACCCCATATTTGTCTATCATCTACTGAATCCCACCACTTTTGCAAATTCGACATGTACTTGTAGAGCCCTCGCAGACCTAAACATTAACAGTACTTTCCTGATTATAATGAGACATCCGAGAGAGAAAACTGCAAAATGGGTAATGTTTGTCTAACAAGCGTATGTTTAGTGACAGGATGCAGATCGTTTTCGTCAAGATATGTATTATCTAATTTCATGTTTTCACGGTTATTCTTAAAATAAATGAATATAAGGATGCTTGTTTGTTGGCTCGTTTGTTTGCTATACATTGCTAGGCCGTTCAACTGATTGGTCGGTAGCTACAGTTGAAATGTTTTGACCCTGTATATCATAATTTTCCCGTTAGCGATAGAGTCGTGCCGGTTATGTACCTAACTCTTAACTAACTTGCGATATAAATAAGAAGTTCGTATAAGATTAATGTGGTCCTCTTTCTCTTACATTTTTTATGTTCGGTCTCGACTTTCATCTATCTAACTTTTTTGTCGAGTTTAAGAAAGGACAGTTAGATAGGGAACAACAGTGGTAATTTACAGGCCTACAATTTTTTTCAATTGTTTTGTTTGTTTGTTTTGTTAAGTTACGGAAACGCTACACTTGGATAATCTGCGTAGGGGAGGGTTATTGGGCAAAATTAGAAATTTACGTGTATTCAGAGGACCACAAAGATACTTTACGTAAATGTATGCTTTTAAAAAGTTCAAAATGTGAATTTTATAAATACAGTGTTTTTGTAATTATATAAATTATTGTGAGTAAAAAAATTATACTCCAACAAAATAAAAATAAATTCAATGGGATTTTTGTCATTTATTAATGTTGTCAATATCTGCTTTTATGGTACTAGTCATAACTCTAACAAGTAAGTATGTTAGTTAAATGGGAATCACTCAACTAACTCACTTTTTTTCAGCAATTTTGATGCTTTTCATGATCGAAAACAATTGTTCACAACAGTATGTACTGTACTATCCCACATGTATAACACTTTTGTAGATAAAACAGTTTTCTAGGACCAATTACATCATTAAGACATCAAAGTGTATTTAGAGAAATGAGAATAATTTTTACGACATACTTTACCAAAGTAAGTGAAAATGTAAATTTGTTTTGTTTTGAAAGTAGGGTTTGAATGCGGGTTTAGCACTGTAAATGATTTGTTATTCAAAAAAAGAAATTGTCTGGATATCACAAACTGTGGAGATTTTAGACTAAAATTAACCAAATTATTGCCTCACATAAAAACTCTTTGCAGCACGCATCAAGCAAAAGGATCGCACTAATTTACATGTTATTTTCTTCCGAGTTGTACACGTAACATGACACATATTTACTTACGCAATAATAAATTAAAAATAGTATTATGTGCATTTATTTTCTGAAGCTGCAATCAATTTTTTTTCAGAATTTGTTAAGTATAAAAATTATGGTAGGAGGCATGGAGATTTTTGAAGCATTGAAGTGGGATTCACTTATAAAATGGAAAAAAAAACTAAAACTCCAATTATTATTATTGTTTAGCAATATCTTGATGATTTTCTGCTCAGTACTTGAACTGTCCTTTCCTTTTATGTTTCTTTTTTTCGCATGTTTTATGTTTTTTTGTCACAGGGGAGACATTAGAATTTTATAGATGCTTTGGTGGGGTATGGCGAAAAAAGGTTGAGAAACACTGGGCTAAGCCAATCATTTTGCAATTCTAAGAGTTCTTCTTGTTACTGCATAGCCACATCAGTTATATCTACCAACATCAGTTGAGTTATCCAAGGTGGAAAAGCAATTTCTTTTAAATCTATAAATCTGTCATTTAAGTCACAAGCCAATTTATCCAAATGATTAACAATAACGAGCATAGCAGAATCAGTCACCTCAAACTTATTTAGCCAATAAAATTGTTCAAATTTTTTGTCTAAAACATTTTCTTTATACAATTGCAGAAGTTAAATGAAGCCAAATATCTTGGATTTCGCATCAATTGTTTTCTCCTTGCAGTTGTTTATTTAATATATTTAATTTTTCGAAGATTTATGTCAAATAACTCAGAAATGCTTGACCATTAATTGATTTTAAGAGTGCCATTTCAGGCTTGTCGTTAAAAACTGACCAAGATATCAAATAGCTGCATGAATCTCTTCAGGCAATTCCTCTGTGACAACCATCTTATTTCGGTATGAAGCAACAGCCTGTTGTGTTCAGCATTTTTATCTTAACGAAACTGTTTGAAGAGATGTTCACATTTGGCATTCGCTTTGATAAAGTTGATACATTTTATCACTGAATGTATTATTTCATTTAGGGCAGGTGAAACTTTTTTTTGAAACTAAATTTTCTCTATGGATAACACAATGTACAAGCAACATCTCTGGGTTATCATCTTTCATTAAATAATTTCGAATAAATAATTATTTTTCATATCTTTCATCTGTATATAAAAAGTTTTTTGTTTTAATATTTTTTTAAACTATAAACAAAAATAAAGTCATGGGAATTCTGTTTTTTTACCAAACTATGATATTGTTCTTTAGCCTTTTACTGTTTACAGAGAGGATGAACACCGTATCTTCTTATTTTTATTACTTCATGCAGTAATTCTAATACTAAAATTTTTTCTTTCCTAATATACTGTTTATACTTTCAAAAATAAAACACTAATTGAAGTATATGTTTGCTTTTGCGATTATATTTTATATATATTAAATATATTTCAACCCAAAATTTTTATTGTTATACAATTTTTTAATTTGAAAGTGTAAATAAATACAACTGAAATTCATGCATTTTTAACATCGTTAATTTTTTGTTCTATTTAATCATTCATTTGCTTTTCTGCAATAGAATTACAGATTTTACATTGTAGCAAGGACTCTAAAGGCATGAATAGCACGGCAATGAATAAATATCACTAAAATATATCCCATAATAATAATTATAAGTAAATTGTTTTATTTAATTATAATTTTTAAACGTAATAAGAGATGGCGCCTAACGATATCCTCTAGTGACAAATTATTTAGTAATTAATTTATAATAATCGCGATATAATAGCCCGATATACAGGTAACCCCCGTATAACACGGCACTTCTATAGCACGGATTCGCTCTAACACGGTTCGAAAATTGGTACCATCCCCCGTATAACACGGTACTTTCGAGAATTGGGTAAAACCCTCGTACAAAAGGAAATGTAATAAATTTTTACATACTTAAGTAATAATAGTTCACGAAAATTATTATTTTCGTGAACTATTAGTACTTAAGTATGTAAATTTTCTCTTCTCGCCTTCTGTCGATACACGTGGTCCTTCTCGAAACTTGTTTCAATGTTGCCAGATCGCGACGCTTCTGCTTCTGATGTTGCCGAATGTTTTTCCCTTATTCCATACTTGCTTTATTCTTATAAGTGCTTAGCACCATATAAGGAAATTTATAAAGACCTTTTAACTAGAAGCAAGCAATCTAAAATTACATACTTTTTGCAAAAGGTAAAGCATGGATCTGAAGATAATGCAGAAAAATGCTCAGAGGATAAGGATAACTTGCCAAAAAGAAAACGCTCTCGGTTAATTAATAGTGTTTTTAGTGATGATGAAAAAAATATTGTTTAATTTATATTAATATGTATTACTTAAAAAAATTTAATGAAGATATTTATCTTAATTATGAAAATATAATAGCATGTTTTTTAATTTTTGGAACCTAACCCTCCTTTTCGTATTAGTTCTTTGTTTCGTATAACACGGATTCGCATAACACGGCAATTTTTTGGAACGTAACAACCGTGTTATACGGGGGTTACCTGTACTTTGATAGTTGTTGGCATATTACTAAACTATATATTTTAATAATTTAAATAATAATCATTAACCGTCGTCAGGGATGACATAAGGTTGTTGCATATGTGGGTGGTGACGTTAGAGGCAGAGAATACAAAAGTACCTTATAAAACCGTTTATTAATACAAAAGTTTCTTACACGGGCAAAAGGGGTTCTTGCCGGATGGTAAAATAAATTTATCAAATGTCCCGCACGTTCTAACTCCCTATGCAAATTTTGTCTTTTCGGCGGGCCCGATGCGGTGGCGAGTCGGTGGACGATGAAACTTTCATGGCAAACACAAAAATTTTGTCAAACTTTTTGTCTCTGACGAAGACACTTGGATTGATGTGGTGACTAAGATGGAAAAACGCACTGGTTGATGCTTTCGGTGACAGTGCGTGTCTTGACGCTTAGAGTGAGGGAGCGTGCTTTTTCCTTGAAGATTTGAGTTCTTATAGAATGTTAGTTTCCAACGTTTTTCCTGATTGGTTGGACTTTTCCTTCCTCGCTCCCCGAATGGTCTCTCACCTGTCTCCAGGTAGAATAGTGAAACCAGTTCGGGTCGTGAGAATGTCTGCCCGGGATGGTCTATCCGACACTTTCTCATCTTCTCGGTATTGTATAATATCGATAAACTACTCGTCGAGGGAAATAGAAAAAAAAATCGCGGATTGGAGCAACTGTCAACTGTACCAAAAATGGGAATCAGAGTGGCAGAGAGAGGACCTCGATTAAAAGGCAAGAGAACAGATGACGACACAGACTTTCCCTGCTTAAATTGTGTGTGCTAACCTCATCGATATCTGGGACCGCCGCTATGGACCGCAGCTTGGACCGTCTCTTGGCTTGTTGGAATAATTTATTTGCTGATAAAATCTAAGAAATTATAGTTACATATACCAATTAGTATAAAGAGAGTATAACATACGAATTTTTTCGAGAAAAGAACATAAAGTGTACTGATATAATAGATCTTAAGGCCTTTATAGTCTTTTGTCCTTAGAAAGAGACAGAAAATAGGCAGAAAGTAGAACAAATTTAAAAATAAAATCGAGATGAAATTGAAAAGTCTGGAATAGTTATGAATATTTAAATGTTCAAAACTCTAGCACTTTGTGTACGTTTCGATGTTCGTAAAAATTGATCAACGAAAAAAGAAAAACAGAAAGTTGAGGTACTTCAGTTTATTATATTTTCCTTAAATATGTGGGATAACTTCCAGAAAAATTATTCTCTTGAAAAAAAAACAAAAATATATTAAATGATAAAAGGTGTATTTAGCAATTACCATTTTCTACAATACATTTTGTCAAAACCGAATAAATTCCTAAATTTATGTGCTAATGAATGCAGAAGCATCTTATCTATAGAATTCGTCAATTTACCATGGAAAGTTGCAACAAAGTCTTTTCTTGATTAGTAATAAGCTAACTGCTATAATGAAAAGGATGGCAAAGAGCTTCTTTGCGTTATAACTGGCGCTAATCCATTGCTCATGGCGTAATATACGGTAACTTCCGACAATTGGTTTAATGGCCAAGATATCAGCAAGAAAGAAAAACAGAAAAAAAAAAAACTTGAAAAAAGCAGTTGTCGTCAGAATTTGTTGCCAGAAAAATAGAGAAGAATATTCTAGCATGTTTGGCTTCAAGAAAAATACTACTCCATGTTTTAGGTCTCAAAGAAACAAAGCAATGTCGTTCTTGTACCCACACCTTACAATTATATATAATTGATCTAGATTCAAAAGAAAACTAGAAAATAAACAAGATAATCTTTTATTGTTCAATAAAGGGATAGTTTGATAATGAGACAAAATATGAACCACATTTAACGTGGTTCAAAACACCAAGCAGTGGCCAATGATTATATTTGTTATCGCGTTAAATATAAGTAGTATCAATTCACAATTTATCTTCCATGGTAAAGAATTAGAATTCATGCGGAGGAAACAATTTTTGAAGCAACTGTCTCAAGAAATTGTAATTGCAAAATTAACTGGAAATGTAAAACAATAATGGAATGGTCTTCGATATTGAACAGATACTAAAACGATTTCGACCCAGTACGGACGAGTTAAAAAAAAAATTATAATTTTCTAGGACCATCCAGGAAAAGACTTTGATGTGCAATGTATGCCACCGAAAGTGATATAAGAAGACTTGCTAAATATGAATATAACACATCTAAAAATACATTTTGTATGTTACATGCCAATTTCGTCTGTGATTCACGCTACAAGTTTTCAGAATAAAATACTCACAATGAATTACTCTCAATCATTGTTGTATTAACAATTTCTGTGTATTTTAAATAGTGCAATTCTACAAAACTACTTTGCTAATGTAGGGCAATAAAAAATGGAATGTTAACCGAGTATAAATTTAATGAATAGGATGCTTTATCTCAATAATTATAACTTGAAAATAATAAAAAATCATTTTAAAATATTTTAAGTATTAGCTAAAAAATAACTATAAAGAAATTAAGACGTTTCAAATATTTACAAAATCTTCGTTTTAATACGTGTCTATTATACTCAATGTGCCCTTTAACACTACTTCAAGTGTTACACCTGACCTAAAGTCAAATATTTTTTGTCGTTTTTGTCAGTTATGGAGTAGGACAAGCATATCGTTTCCAGAACCTGCGTGTTTTAAGGAGAAGCGTAAAACGCATGCCACAATATTTGAGTTTTCGTGTAAAACCGAAACACAATCCTACATCGCGAAGGTTTGTTTCGTTTACCTGGAAAATATCTACTTAATTACTGCGTATCCTGCCTTTGGTGTGTCATTATACAGGAATAAAGCTATATTATTATAAAACATTTTAATATAATTATGTGATATAAGTTTCATAATTATGAATACTTGGTTATTTTACAGTATTTGACACATCTCTTCTACATACGAAAAAATTAACAGCTTAAAAATGTGCGAAGATTTCTGGGTTATACATTAAACTGCATAAAAAATAGACTTTATGACGTATTCTATGTTATAAAAGAAGCCGTTTTCTGCTACATATAAAAGTACAATTAATGCAATTATAAAAAAATACTTCAATGTATTATGACAAAGTCTAATAGTTGTAAGGAAAATACGCATAAAAGATTATTGCGATCCAAATACTAGATTCGTTTAATGTTCTTAGCTGGACTTGTGTGATTACATTCTATTTACCAATCTTATCTGGATTATTTTTCAGGAAACCTAAACTCTTTCAACAAATATTAAAAAACAAAACATTTTTTCACTATGTGAAAAATTGAAAACAGTATCAAAAAAGATAAAATAAAAAGGAATTGGTCTGTTCACAGCAGCTACCACCCATTTGTAAACTCGACTGAACTTACAATAGCTATGATTAGAATATCCAAGTCTTCATAGGGAAAAATAATAAAACCTATAAAATACAAAATAAAATCAAAACTTGCTCAGATCAATGGAAAACATCACTACTATTACAAAGCTGTTTCTCCCCCTTCAACAATTTGAATATTTCGAAAACGTGACTTTTTGTAATAGCCACTAAATGTCATCAACGAAAGCACAGCAGGAATGAATAGCAGGGCATGGAAAGCGGTTAGGACAGTAATTAAAAATACTATTTTTATAAAAACTACGAACATGTAAAATTTTTTATAAAGAAACAATATTCCTAATATACTTGACAACGATCCTTGAAGAATTGGATAACCTATTTCATATAAGGCATCTTTCAGCTTTTCATTCGGATCCTCGGATGACGACATTACAAAAGCATGCGTTATATGCGCAGGAAAATTCACACAAAACCCAACGCACAAAATCAAGCTCATCATAGAAAATATATCCAGATTCACTTCCCATAAACTCATAAATCCCAGAGTCTCGATTATTGTAGAAACGACAGATATTGCTACCAATACGGCGCAAAACATATTTGGAACGAACAAAAAAAATATTATAAGAATTAACAACATTGTTACCCAAAATAACTGAATAACAATAGCTTTAATAATAATTCCCTGTTCAATTAAATCTGAGAACAGAGAGTGAATCAAAACGTCGAACGGTGCCTTGTCCACAATATTCATCACACCACGTACTAAATTCATCTCCGATTCTCTATCCATCACATTTTTAGCCACAACCAAAAATCGACTTAAAAGTATATCAGATTGGTCTTCATTAAAAACTATATCATTTGAAAATTCATCGGCACCTTTTAATCTCAGAAAAATATCTCGAAGCCCTTCTAAAAAATCCTTTTTATTAGACAAGTTGTATCCCCCTAAGGAATATTTCGAAACGGGATGTTCCTGAAATTCTTTGTAATATTTCAACCAAGAAACGGTTGTACGTGAATCGCCGATTTGGGGATGAGATTCGAAATTCCTCATCATGGTGTCAATTTTCTGTTGTACGTTCTTATCGGAATAATCGACTGTTTGGTTAATAATTATATGAACAGGAAAAGCATATTCACCGAAATATTTATACATGATTCGGGTGCTCTCTGAAATGGTAGAATCATTTGGATAAAGTTTATGCCAATCGAGTCCTTGTCTAATCGATAGCGTTCCCCACACGCTTACACCCAAATTAATAAAGTAGACAACTACAATGACAATGTTTACAAGTGAATAAGAAAACAGTTTGCCAAAATGCTTTCTGAATATCTTCATAAAGAATTCTTCGTCTTGTTGGTGTTTCAATTGAGAAGCGAATGTTTTAGAATCTAAAAATAAAATAAAATTTGAATAAATTAAGTTACTATAACCTTTCATGACTAAAATAAAATAAAAATAATGAACAAATTAAAGGATATATACATTTATTTATGATAATTTTCTTAAGTCTCAAAGAGCTTTCGTAAGCAGATTTTGGATTTACTTGAAAAGAACATTATATTTACTTCCACAAACACTATTCACTTTCATGAAAAGTATGTCACCACACATTGCATGGATGAAATATAAACGAATTTCATTTATACGTTTGTACCTACTCAGAAAATTACTCATATAAAAAAATTTCCCAAACAAGAAAATACGCACAAAGAACAATTCCCATACTAATAGTATTATATTTTTTTAATACCAAAATGAATAAATAATATTAAGTATCAGAAGAATATTAATACATGTACTTTTGTAAAGCAGTGTATGAGATATAGTCAATACTTAAGTTAATTTAAATTAAATAACTTTTTCATTTATTTACTTTAAAATCTTACTACAAACTTATATTAAATTTAAAATTTAATCTCGTATTTAAAAAGGAAATTGAAAGTGATTTTGCTCCAAACAAAAACATAATTCAAAATACAGTACTTCAATTATTTCAGTCATGATATATAAGACCTATTTTAAGAAAAATTAAATTTTATAGTTAAAATGTGCGGTACATAGTTGAATGTCGTACTAAAATTTCCATAAACTCACAGCATCTTACAACTCATACAAATGGTAGGTATAACGGATACCTGATATTTATGTTTACATAAAATGAGTGTACCTTGAGCTTACAAATAAGTAATGGAAAAAGTATAAAGAAACGGAAGAAAAAGAAATAATCTTTTTATTTTTTGTTATTGTTTCTCTGTCTGAATAAGGTTTGTTCATACAGTGTTCACTTTTATTACGTTTACTTGCTTTTCAGGCATTTATAATAATGCAACAGCGTTATTGCTTTCTTTATCAATAGAAAATTACAAAATCATTTAACTCTGCCTCAAAACAACTACGGAAACAGTTGCGTATATGAATGTGTAGTGTAATTGTTTGAAATATCATAAAATATTACTAGTAATTTAGAATATAGTTAAGACCAGAAATGTTGAAAAATAAGGAAAATAACATTTTCATGATCTGTTGATTGGTGACAACATTGAACGTTTTTGCCGTAAGCTTACCCTACCCTATTTTGTTCTACTCTATCTGCCTTTTTTTCTTCAGACGTGGATGAATTCTGTGAAGTTGTAATGTTAATATATATTCGTTTTGACTTTAAATAAAAGTTTTTGTTAACTAGAAAAGTATGTGTTAGAGGTTCTGACATCAAGTTTCAACACAGAATATTGGTAATATTAGTGAATATTTTTTTCCATTTTAAAGATTAACGGGAGTTCACACAAGTCGAGATAAAGAAATGCCAATGTAATCTATTATAAAAATATCATTATCGCAAAAATTCAAAAGTTGCCAAGTTTCTATTAAAAATATTAAATTTTTACTTTTCCTGATTAAATCTTTCTGATCATTTGAAAACAACATATATATATATACAGTCAATCCCCCTATAAGACGGTAGATACGTTCCGTTCTTTATGAATCAATTTTGTAGAAATCACAGCCAGTTACAGCCCGACACGTGTGAAATTTACGGACTACGTCTATTTGAAAGGTTTTCTTTCATAAAATTAATCGATTCTAGACTAATTCGACTCAACATTTCTAAAATACGTATATTTTTTTGGAAATAATCCGTATAAACTACGCTATAAACAAAAAATTGTAGGATTACTTACCGAGTGTGTACCATTCGACATCGCCGTTGCTCAAGCTTGTTTTCGTCGCGGAACATCGCAGCAAACCGCGGCCGCGATTTCTGATGTTATTTTTCTGCGAAAACTTCGTTGAACTTTGGAAACATCATTAATAGAAATAATTTTAATCGTCGCTGAATAAGAAATGTTTCTTTCACAAGAAATGTATAAAATTACAGTACTGTATTAGACTTACGGTACCTAATTTACATACTGTACAGACG